ATTACTATAGAGATGAAGAAAAAGATCATTGATAAGTATGAAAGTGGAGTGCGTGTCTCCGAGCTGGCCAGGTTGTATAATAAACCCCAATCAACCATCGCTACTATTGGTGGTACAGCTGCTGCTGCTGCTGTACCACTGTCAGCTGTTGCTGCACTGTCAGCTGCTGCTGCACTGTCAGCTGCTGCTGCTGTTGTACCACCGTCAGCTGCTGCTGCTGCTGTAGTACCGTCTGCTGCTGCTGTAGCATCGTCTGCTGCTGCTGTAGCATCGTCTGCTGCTGCTGTAGCATCGTCTGCTGCTGCTGTAGCATCGTCTGTTGCTGCTGTAGCATCGTCTGCTGCTGCTGTAGCATCGTCTGTTGCTGCTGTAGCATCGTCTGTTGCTGCTGTACCACCGTTGTTGGTGTGGCTTATTGAGAATACCAAGAAACAATTAACCCCAGAGGATTTGCCACCCAGGATAACCCAAAAAAGTCAGTGTCATCGAAGACTGTCTAACTTATTTCCAATGGGGTCCTTAATCTCGTCTCCCAGGATGCAACCCACACCAGTCGACTAACACCCAGGTGAACAGGGAAAAATGCCTGGAACTAGTGCTCATATTGGTGAATTTAAAGCCAGCAAAGGTTGGTTTGAGAGATTTAAGAATTGTAGTGGCATACACAGTGTGATAAGGCCTGTTCTGGAAGAAAATGCCAAACAGGACCTACAGTACTCAGGAGGAAAAGGCACTCCCAGGACACAGTGTCTCATCAGTCATTGCTGCATCTTCAATAAAGGTAAGTGTCATTTATTCTTCATTTAGTAGAGTAGTACATGCACAATATATATTGTGCATGTACTACTCTACTATTGTGCATGTATCCTTCTCTTTGTGTGTAGGAAAATGTATATTTCATGTGGTAAAAATTTTTTTTTCATACTTTTGGGTGTCTTGCACGGATTAATTTGATTTCCATTATTTCTTATGGGGAAAATTCATTCGCATACCGAACATTTCGCATAACAATCAGCCCTCTTGCACGGATTAAACTCGCTATGCGGGGGTCCACTGTATAGTTCTTCTGTTTTCTAATTATGTCCAAGAATTTGTATTGATAAAGCCACTGGATGGTGAAACGTTTACAATTAAGATAACCAGATGTTGCACAAGTGTCTTAACTTTCACTAGTTTAATGTAAACAAAAGAATGATGAAAATATTAGTGTGGTTGTGTTGAATACAACAGTATCACATAGTACCATTTGGTACAATGGTACCATAGGGTGCAATGGTACCATATGGTACAATGTACCACAGGGTGCAATGGTACCATATGATGCAATGGTACCATATGGTACAATGGTACCATATAGTACAATAGTACCAAATGGTGCAATGATACCACAAGGTGCAATGGTACCATATGGTGCAATGATACATTATGATACACTGTACCATATGATACAATGATACATTATGGTACAGTGTACCATATGGTACTGTCGTATTCAACACAATAACCGCACTAATATTTTCATTATATAATTTACAATAGTATTGTTTACAACAAAAAATGCAAACATGTTGTATATTAGTAATGTTCTATTACATATTTTTACATATGTACAGCTACTGGACATGTTGCTTGAGGTGGATGACGAAGCGCTTTGTCTTGGAAACTGCTGAGTCAGTGTCCCACACTCACTCATTCAGTCCTGGCCGGTCCCTCGTGGCACCAACACCTCCTACTGGCCATGTGGTACAGGGCATCATATGGTACATTGTAGCATATGGTACAGGGTATTATATGGTACAGAATACCATATGGTGCAAGGTAGCATATTGTACAGGGTACCATATGGTACAGGGTATCATATGGTACAGGGTACCATATGGTACAGGGTACCATATGGTACAGGGTACCACATGGTACCATACAGTACAGGGTACCACATGGTACCATACAGTACAGGGTACCACATGGTACCATACAGTACAGGGTACCATATGGTACAGGGTACCACATGGTACCACACAGTACAGGGTACCATATGGTACCATACAGTATAGGGTACCACATGGTACCATACAGTACAGGGCACCATAAGGTACAGATACAGGGATTCCCATGGAAATAAGTCACCCTGACTTTTTTGGGGTTATCCTAGGATTTATGTATGATAATCTATGTAACTGTATTTGTGTACACCTGAATAAACTTACTTAAACACATTTGGCATCGTAAATAAGTTTATTTAGGTATACACAAATAAAGTTACATAGATTATCATACATAGCAGCATACGTTTGCAGACCTAGGATAACCAAAAAAGTCAGACATATTCCCATTAGGGTCCCTGTATCCTGTACCATATGGTGCAATGTAGCATATGGTATAATGTACAATATGGTACAATGTACCATATTGTACATTGTACCATATACCACTATGATATGGCACCATTGTACCATATGGTACCATTGTACCATATGGTACAATGTACCATATGATTCAGAACCATAGAATTTCTCTTCAGATCCACTTCCATCAGTCTTAGAACTATCAGTTGGGAAGAGGAGAGTCAGGATTTGCCAGGGGAGTGAGAGCTTCCTTGCCGCCAGGCATGGTGAACAAAGCCACTTTGGTGGCGTTCCCACAATGCCATGCGAGCGTCCAGATTTTTTCTATACAGTGGACCCCCGCATAGCGACTTTAATCCGTGCAAGAGGGCTCATTGTTATGCAAAATGATCGGTATGCGAATGAATTTTCCCCATAAGAAATAATAGAAATCAAATTAATCCGTGCAAGACACCCAAAAGTATGAAAAAAAAATTTTACCACATGAAATATACATTTTCCTACACACAAAGAGAAGGATACATGCACAATAGTAGAGTAGTACATGCACAATATATATTGTGCATGTACTACTCTACTATTGAAGAATAAATGACACTTACCTTTATTGAAGATGCAGCAATGACTGATGAGACACTGTGTCCTGGGAGTGCCTTTTCCTCCTGAGTACTGTAGGTCCTGTTTTGGCATTTTCTTCCAGAACAGGCCTTATCACACTGTGTATGCCACTACGATTCTTAAATCTCTCAAACCAACCTTTGCTGGCTTTAAATTCACCAATATGAGCACTAGTTCCAGGCATTTTTCCCTGTTCACCTGGGTGTTAGTTGACTGGTGTGGGTTGCATCCTGGGAGACAAGATTAAGGACCCCAATGGAAATAAGTTAGACAGTCTTCGATGACACTGACTTTTTTGGGTTATCCTGGGTGGCAAATCCTCTGGGGTTAATTGTTTCTTGGTATTCTCAATAAGCCACACCAACAACGGTGCTACAGCAGCAGCAGCAGCAGCAGCTGACAGTGCTACAGCAGCAGCAGACAATGCTACAGCAGCAGCAGACGATGCTACAGCAGCAGCAGACGGTACTACAGCAGCAGCTGATGGTGGTACAGCAGCAGCAGCTGACGGTGGTACAGCAGCAGCAGCAGCAGCTGACGGTGGTACAGCAGCAGTAGCAGCTGACAGTGCTACAGCAGCAGCAGACGATGCTACAGCAGACGGTACCACAGCAGCAGCAGCAGCTGACGGTGGTACAACAGCAGCAGCAGCAGCTGACGGTGCTACAGCAGCAGCAGCAGCTGACAGTGCAGCAGCAGCTGACGGTGGTACCACCAATAGTAGCGATGGTTGATTGAGGTTTATTATACAACCTGGCCAGCTCGGAGACACGCACTCCACTTTCATACTTATCAATGATCTTTTTCTTCATCTTTATAGTAATTCTCACCCTTATTGCTGTAGGGTTGGCACTAGAAGCTTTCTTGGGGCCCATGGTCACTTATTTTGCAGATAAAATCACCAAAAACACTGTAATAATACGAAATGTTCCGATTGTATGCTTGGATGTTACCGCGGAGGCTGGCTGGTAAACAATGCCACCGGCGGCACATGTAAGGCTGGCTAAGGGCGCACATTGGACGCATCTCGGACGAAGAGTGGTGAGCGGGTTTTTGAGCGGTATACGAGGCAAAATTTTTGCGATAAAAGCGAACGGTATGCGGATTGTACATTATGTGATGGCAACGGTATGCGGGGGTCCACTGTAGTGCACACACTGACCACCCAGACCCATTCCCTTAGATGTATGCCTACAAGCCTTCTTGAGCTAAATTTGAGGCTGCTAGAATTTTGGTGTAGTTCTACGGTTTGGGCCCACAACTCCAAGCCATAGAACTATGGCACGGACCCTGAAAGGGTTAAAACTACACCATTTTATCCTCATATACTCAATTCATTATTAAAAGAAAAATTTTTATGTTGAACGAAAGTCAATTTTTCACGTGAAAGGCAAAATGTCTCTCAAACATACAAGCAAGTCTTTATAATGAAAGTAATAAGTCAGCCTTCCTGAGTTCTCCAATCATATGATCCCTCAGAAGAATGAAGCCAACACAGACTGAAGGAGACTACTTTTGAAGAAACTGAAAACAAGTTAGGAGTGCCAGATGAATATGTCAAATATGTTTGTATTAAAAGACTCGGATGTTTCAGCAGCCTCAACAATACTATTTATAAATGTGCAGTAGAATATATAAGGTTGTGTGACTTATTCAAGAAAGTTATCATCATCAGTTACAACAGAAATGCTATCTTGCTCTAAAGACTTACACCCACAAAGACTAGCAACTCTGGACAGCTCAGCCATAGGTACCAATTAACAATGAGACATAAAAAATACACAAATAACCCACACACAGAAGAGAGAAGCTTAAGACAACATTTTGTTCTGACCTGGACCATTTACAAAGTCACACTGGTCCAAGTCGGACCGAAACATCATCGTAAGCTCCTCTCTTCTATGTGCGGGTTATTTGTGTATTGTTCCAGTCACGGTATTGTGCCTTTTTTGTTATTTATAGACATTTATAATTTTCTCTGGTATGCAATAACTTTAATGGTAAGTCTAGGAAGAGTAAAAGTACAATTAAACTAACCCTATGTATGATGCCGGCAGAATGGAGGTGCTTGATACCACACAGCATCTGGTAGAGTAAATATGACATGCGTTCATGGTCGAGATCCATTTGTATAACTTGACATAAGTTAGCATCCATTAATTCCATTACTAAGTACACATCTTGAAACTCATCCAAAGACTTCTGTGGTGTGAAGGCATTCAAGAGTCCAATTATCTGAAAATTTCAGTTAATTCATAGAATTCTGATTTGAGTTTAACACACAGTCTTAAAAATTAGTATGCTAGAAATATAAGAAAATGATTAATAGCCAACTTCACAGAAAGAGATCATGGATTAGATAAGAGGGTGACTGAACAGGTCAGGCAATATTCTTATGTAATCTTCAAACTTACTCAGGATTGGAAACAACAGCAGATATTTCACATATAGAAAAGCCTCAGGAAGATGTGTTTGTATCAATTGTTTCCTAAATTTTGTAACTTCATACATTATACTACAGTGGACCCCCAGTTTACAATATTATTTCATTCCAGAAGTATGTTCAGGTGCCAGTACTGACCGAATTTGTTCCCATAAGGAATATTGTGAATTAGATTAGTCCATTTCAGACCCCCAAACATACACATACAAACGCACTTACATAAATACACTTACATAATTGGTCACATTGGGAGCTGATCGTAAACCGGGGGTCCACTGTACTCTTATGTAATTTGCGTTGCAAGGACGGAATTATAGAATTAAAAAGGACTGGAGCCAAAAGTACATTCAGCGATCCATACCAAAAAAAAACACTTGAGCACACACTTACGGTAAATACATTCAAACAAATTAAATTTAAATAAAAAACTGACCCACATTACATACACATACAGCCTCTCCTCACTTAGCGACATACTCATTTACTGACGACTCAGACTTACGACAGGCTCTCTCACCAGTATGCATACCTAAATAATATATATTAGAGCTGATTTCCTCTATTCTGTTAATTACACTGTACAGTACACTACTGTGCAAACAGTTGAAAATATACAAGAAATGTTATAAATGGGGCAAAGCTGACATTAAAACAACAACAAAGATGGTTGACAAAAACCTACTACCATTATAGTATGTTCCTCACTTAGCGATGAATTCGTTTACTGATATGGTCTTAGGAATGGAACTCCGTCATTATGCAAGGAGAGGCTGTAAACATACATACATACATTATTTTATAATATATATATATATATATAATATATATATATATATATATATATATATATATATATATATATATATATATATATATATATATTATATATATATATATATATATATTATATATATATATTAGGTAGTAGGTTGGTAGACAGCAACTGCCCAGGGAGGTACTACCATCCTGCCAAGTGAGTGTAAAACGGAAACCTGTAATTTTTGTAATTGCTGGTGTCTTTTTTTCTGTCTCATAAACATGCAAGATTTCAGGTACATCTTGTTACTTCTACTTACACTTAGGTCACACTACACATACATGTACAAGCATATACATACACACCCCTCTGGGTTTTCTTCTATTTTCTTTCTAGTTCTTGTTCTTGTTTATTTCCTCTTATCTCCATGGGGAAGTGGAACAGAATTCTTCCTCCGTAAGCCATGCGTGTCGTAAGAGGTGACTAAAATGCTGGGAGCAAGGGGCTAGTAACCCCTTCTGTATACATTACTAAATTTAAAAGGAGAAACTTTCATTTTTCCTTTTGGGCCACCCCACCTCAGTGGGATATGGCTGGTGCATTGAAAGAAAGAAAGATATATATATACAGTGGACCCCCGAGTTTTGTGATTAATCCGTTCGAAAGAGCCTGCCGAAAGTCGAAATTCACGAAACTCGAAACCATTTTCCCCATAAGAAATAATGGAAATAAAATTAATCCGTTCCAAACACCCAAAAATATTAAAATATTTTTTTTCAAATTAAATAAAGATTTACATACTGAAAACAATCAGAAATCAAGTACATGCATTTAAAAAAATAATAATAACATTACACTTACCTTTACTGAAGACTTCTGGGTGGATGGAAGACGGGAGGAGGGGATAGGAGGAAGGTGTACACTATTGTTTGGAAGGAGAATCTCCTTCCATTAGGACTTCGGGTATGAAGTCCTTCTCTGAGATTACTTCCCTTCTTTGTTTTTTAAAGACACTGGCACTGGGAACAACTTGAGAGCCACTGGACCCCTGTCGCACAAAATATCTGTCCAGAGAGCTCTGTTTCTGGCGTTTCTTTAAGATTTGTCTGAAGTGGGACACAACACTCTCATTGTACATGTTGCCCATACGGCCTGCAACAGCTTTGTTAGGGTGAAGTTCATCCATAAATGTTTGCACTTCAGTCCACTTTGCACAAATGTCCTTAATCTTTGAAGAAGGCACCTTTCTCCATCTCTCTTCCTCCTCCTCTGTAGCAGTTTCATGAGCTGTGATCTCTTGCTGTTGCAGATGAAGCTCTTGCAGCTCTTCAGTGGTTAGCTCTTCCCTGTGGTCCTCCACCAATTCTTCCACATCTTCACCACTCACCTCCAACCCCAGGAACATCCCCAATGCCACAATAGATTCCTCACTTTCTTTACCAAAAGGCTTGCACTAGCTTTCCTTGGGCCCATGGTGACTTATTTAGCAGTTGCAATCACAAACAGTGGATTATTACGTATGAACCCACGGGGTGATGGTCACGTGTTGGTAAACAATGGCACACTGAGCATGAATGGCGTGGGAGACTGGCTTGGTGTGCGCGGTGACAGGCAGATGGGTACTGGACGGTCGCCGAATCACGAGTCTAATCACGAAACTCAAGGCCAAATTTTGCCAAAAAAAACTTGCCGAAAGTCGAATTTCACGAAAGTCGATGCAGCCGAAACTCGAGGGTCCACTGTATATATACACCTACCATCTGACTTACGACTGAGTTCGGTTCCGAGAAACCGCTCATAAGTCGAAATGGTCGTAAGTTGAACTTTACTACTGAATATCAACAAAACATTTTTGTAATGACTTTATTTTATTGTTTTATTTTGGTATTTCATGTTTTACTTCACTTTTTATGTTGTTAGTACTGTATTTTATACCGTAAGGTTTAGGATAAACACTGTGTACAACACAAATAGTTGTTTATTTCCCAGAAATTTAGCATAAAAAACACAGTCGTAAGTCGAGTGGTCGTAAGTCGAGCAGGTTGTAAGTCGGTGGTTTGGGTTGTGTGTATGTATGTAATATATATATACATATATATACATATATATATATATTATATATATATATAATATATAATTTTAAAATATATATATATATATATTTATATATATTTATATATATATATATATAAAATTTATATATATATATATTATATATATATATATAAATATATATAATTTTATATTTATTTATTTTATAATATATATATATATATATTTATATATATTTTATATAAAAATAAATATTTTTATATATAATATATATATATATATATATATATATATAATAAATATATATATATAAAATATATAAAATATATATAAAATATATATATATTTATATATATATATATATATATATATATTATATATATATATATATATACAGTGGACCCCGGTTAACGATATTTCACTCCAGAAGTATGTTCAGGTGCCGTACTGACCGAATTTGTTCCCGTAAGAAAAATTGTGAAGTAGATTAGTCCATTTCAGACTGCCCCAAACACACACACACAACACATATATACATATATATATACATATATATATATATATATATATATACATATATATATATTTATATATATATATATATATATATATACATATATATATACATATATAATATAATATAATTTATACATATATATTACATATATATACATATATATTAATATATATATATACATATATATATATTATATATATATATATATATTATATACATATATATTTATTTATATATATATAATATATATATTTAAAATATATATATATATTTTATATATATATATATATAAAGGTAGTAGGTTGGTAGACAGCAACCACCCAGGGAAGTACTACCCTCCTGCCAGATGACTGTGAAACAAAAACCTGTAACTGTTTTGCATGATGGGAGGAAATTTCTGGTTTTTTTCTGTCTCATAAACACGCTAAGATTAACAGGGATATCTTGCTACTCCTACTTACACTTTGGTACACTTCACAGACACGCACATGCATATATATATATACATACATCTAGGTTTTTCTCCTTTTTCTAAAGCTCTTGTTCTTTTTTATTTCTTCTATTGTCCATGGGAAGGGGAAAAAGAATTTTTCCTCCGTAACCCATGCGTGTCGTATGAGGCGACTAAAATGCCGGGAGCAATGGGCTAGTAACCCTTCTCCTGTATACAATTATAAAAAGAGAAGAAAAGAAAAACTTTATAAAACTGGGTTGCTTAAATGTGCGTGGATGTAGGCGGTGACAAGAAACAGATGATTGCTGATGTTATGAATGAAAAGAAGTTGGATGTCCTGGCCCTAAGCGAAACAAAGCTGAAGGGGGTAGGAGAGTTTCAGTGGGGGGAAATAAAGGGTTTTAAATCTGGAGTATCTGAGAGAGTTAGAGCAAAGGAAGGGGTAGCAGTAATGTTAAATGATCAGTTTTTGGAAGGAGAAAAGGAATATGAATGTGTAAATTCAAGAAAATTTTGTGGATTAAAAATAAAGGTTGGATGCGAGAAGTGGGTCATAAAAATAGCGTGTATTTCACCTGTGAGAAGAGAGGAATGCAGAGGAGAGAGAGAGATTTTGGGAGATGTTAAGTGAATGTATAGGAGCCTTTGAACCCAAATGAGAGAGTAATTGTGGTAGGGGACTTTGAATGCTAAAGTGGAGAAACTTTTGAGAGGGTGTGGTAGGTAAGTTTGGGGATGCCAGGGGTAAATGATAATGGGAGCCCTTTGATTTAACTTTGTATAGAAAGGGTTTAGTTATAGGTAATACATATTTTTAAGAAAAAGAGGATAAATAAGTTTTACACGATTGATGTGGGGGCGAAATGACAGTAGTTTTTTGGGAAATTATGTATTGGTAGTTTAAAAGACTGTTGAGTAGACTTCAGGATGTACATGTTTATAGAGGGGCCACAGATATATCAGTCACTTTTAGTTGTAGCTACACTGAGAGTAAAAGGTAGAGGGGATACAA